CAACAGCAAGAAGTCGACAAGACTTTCAAAGAAGTACAAAAGCATGTACTACTACGACCAACCGGCACATTGGGAATTGGTCAGATAATCCAAGTCCTGGGCAGAGACATCCACAACAATGGAGACTTCTTTGAGGCGAGCCTCAAACCAGAATACATCACTAGATTGCTGAAGGAAACAAAGATGGAAGCAAGCAACCCAGCATCAGCTCCAGGGACGGCCCCTGAAACAATCCACAAACGATGACGCACCTCTAGATGCACAAGAACATGCAGACTACAGGAGAGCAGTAGGGAAGCTTCAATGGCTGACCTACACAAGACCAGACATCAGCTTGCAACAAAAGAACTGGCACGAGACCTACAACAACCAACGCAACAAAGCCTACGTAAGGTGAAACATCTCTTGCGGTACCTCAGGGGAACGCAACACTACAAAATGATCCTGAGGACAACACATACACCACAGACAAAGGAACCCATCGACCTCAACATCTATGTCGACGCGGACTGGGCAGGATGCCCAAGCACAAGAAAATCAACAAGTGGATTCATCGTGACAATGATGGGATCCGTGGTACAATTTGGAAGCAGAACACAAGCAGTAGTAGCACTATCATCAGCAGAATCAGAGCTTTATGCCATTGGCACAGGAGCACCAGAAGGATTACGTATAGCAAACTTCATCAAGGAAGCAACAACAACAAAGGTGAACATCCGCATACACACCGACAGCACAAGCGGCAAGAGCATAGCAACAAGAATTAGCTCATCAAAGAAAGCAAAGCACATTGACCTAAAGTACCTCTTCATACAACAACTGGTACACAGCGGGATTCTGTCAATACACAAGATCAGCACACATGACAACCCAGCAGACATACTGACAAAGTATGTCCCGGCAGAGGTGCTTAACAAACACCTCTACATGGCGGGCATTCAATGCCCACAACACCACAACTGAACGACGATCGCACGAACAGTTTCACAACCATGGCAGCATCTACGCGTGTACAATACATACACGGGAGAATCAAGCCATGGCACACTACTTTAGCTACTATGTGCATACTATGTCATAGACAATATGTACTACAAGATCTTGAGTTTCACAATAAGCCCGGCTTTCTTTTCGTCGTTTCGGAGTACAATTCGATGGACAATGTGTTTGAAATTTGGCTTTTTCTGAATTTGTTGGATGACAATGCATGTTTGGTTGACAATTTGTCAACAATTCCTTTGACCGCAGCCGCTTTCTAGCTCACAAGCTGTGACAATTTGGATCAACTTCCTCGAGGACAATTTCGAAGGCAACGATGGCAGTTGAGATGATGACAATCCCGGACTACCACAATCAGTGGGGAAGACAGGGCGATCATCTACAATGAAGACAATATTGAAAGAAAAATCCGGCAGCCTTCGAACTACAAGGACAGCGCATGGGTCGATGTCCTCGACAATGTCACGACTTACTGGTTTGCAGCAGTCACAATGGCAGAGTATACAATCATGTTGAATGAAAACAACGAGATCGACAAGCTGCCCGGCAAACTGCGGAAACCTGGAAATTGGGAACAATTCATTATGGTTCCCACAATGGAGGAAGCAATTCAGTGGCTCGCGTACCACCAATCGATGAGCCACACAATGTCGAGCGAGGAGACAATCGTGTTGGCAATAGCCTTCGATGCACACAACATGGTGCATCGCATGTCACAAAAGATGTTGACCTCGTTCCAGCGAGGGTACAGCGTACAAGTTCTACAAGTCCATGCTCCCTATGACTATGTCTTCACGGAAGCAGAAAAGAACAATTTGCGAGCGATGTACTTGAACTACAATGCGACCAACAAGTTCGACAAGTACAATTGGTCAAATGGCTGGATTTGGAACTATGGCCATACAATGCATGTGAGGTCAATGCTGACTATTTCAGAAGATTCGCCGCGCCACACAATCTTTGGAATGGCTTTGGCTCATCTTGGACAATTTGGCCAATCTCAGCTCCCGCCAGATGTACAATTGGCACTTGGTGTGTACGAGGCGGACAAGAAGATTGACACCTACCATGTGACAATTCCAAAGAGGCACCAGCGAGGACATCCTGAGGAGCGCGACAGGACAATTGTCCAGGAGAAATCTGAGGACTAGGAAGAAGAAAAGGGGACAAAACGTCCCAGACAATCTTCTGAGGCCCCAGACAATCTGGTGGACGACGTGGAGGGCTAGAACAATGGTTCGACAAGCTGCTGATCTCCAGCTATGACAATGCCATACGAGCACAACGATGAGAAGGGCAACAAAGCTGGAAAGACAATGACAGAAAAGATGTACAGACTTGTCTACAATGTTTGAACTGCTTTGTACAATAATGTTCCTTTTCAGTTTCAACAATGTTTGTATTGATGGTGTGATTCAACAATGAATCAAACCAAGGGACGGTGTCAAGATACAACCTTCTGTACAATTGCATGTTTACTCCATCGTAGTGTTCATGTACAATTGCCCGGTGCTATAAAATGCACCTTGGATCGAGTCCTTGAGCCTAAGGACAGTTGCCAGAGGAAAACAATACAGAGACGTGCACAAACAAACGACAAACAAACAGCTGCTGAATTTTACAAGAGAGAGAGAGAGAGAGAGAGAGAGAGGCGCTCCCAGCTACGACTCCAGCGTCCAAGGACACACCAAACAAGAAAAGGAACGGGACGATGGTGTTGCCAGCTACGACTCAAGCGTCCAAGGACACACCAGGGAGAGAGGGGGTGTACCTGAGTGTTGCATCCAGGAACACTCCAAAAAAGGCAAAGAAGGGAGAGGGGAGAGGGAAAGGGGAGGAAAGAGGATTAAGGCCCCTGACAGGTTCCAATGAACCTTAAGTAGCTGCGGCCGCTGCGGCCACGCACGCCGTGCCAAAATGGCTGGCTGCTCTGACCGCTGTGGTCACCTAATGGCTTGTCCGAAGATTGCCTACTTGGAATTCAATAAGCCGTCAGGTCTTGGCAAGTAACTTTGGCGTAAGCCTCCTGCTGTCCGCTCTGGACACGCACATCTCCGGGCAAGGGAGATAAAGACACAGGGGGGCACTCTTCGGGCTCACCCTGGGCTCTGCGCGGATGTGAATGCCACTCGCCGCACGGCAACCTAAGGGACCAGATTCCTGAGAGGAACATCGAAACCTGTGAATCCTTGGGGTCTTCAAACGAAGAGGAGGCCAAAAGAGCAAAAGCCCGAATCGACGAAACGACCGGGTGACGGCGGTCGTGCGACTGCAGACTTCAGTAAAAGTTCAAACGAGCGGCTGCAATCTTTGGGGAAGGGTTTTGGGGAAGATCATGCCTCACCATGAAAGCAAAGACGAGCAGAGAAGAGGAGAGTGTTGTCACTCGCAGGTACACAGGGCTGATCAGGCCCTGCTTCCCACTCTCGCCCACAGCTTCGTTGCGTGTGGTAGGGTGGGAGTGCCACACGCCCCTGCTGTAAAAAACAAGTTGAGTGCTTCTCTAAACGCAGGCGGTAAATGGTCAATGCAGAATCACTTTTTGGTAAACCAAAGGCAGTGACTTCCCTTTGACTCGTTCGGTCAAGCTCCCTCAAGCCAATGATTTGCCAGTTCCCCACTCCGACCGACGGGTTCCTCTCTCTCTCTCTCTCTCTCTTTCTTCCTCTCTCTCTCTCACAGCGGCCGCGGCGGCCCCCTGCTGAAGCAAGAAAAACGTAAAGAAATCTCTAATCACTAATCCGAAAGGATCCCTGTGACTCCAAGGGGTACACTCTACACACACACACACGTTGCTTACTGTGGGCATAGTCAGTCCATAGCCAACAGGTGTATGATGTATATATATTCATATATATATATATGAGAGTGTTTTTGAGTGCTTTTGTGGAGGTAAGTGACAGATGTTTACAAGCTCTGTGAGTTGTTTCGTGTCTGTTTTATACAAGTTCCCGGATTTTTTAATTGGGTTGTGTGGTGCTTTGTTGGTGCTATCCAGCCAAAAGGCTTAACGGATTGGTGTTCACCCGGCCCAGACACAAGGGTGTCTTAGGATTCCAGCAGTAACCCATCCACATGCCACCAACACATTACCCAAAGGATCCTAGCGTCCGTCAGAAACTCCATAATGCATGTCCCTACAAGTTCAACTTACTTCAGTTTACTTTGCAAAATTAGTGCTTGCGTCCTGCAAAAATAGCACAAGACGCGCCTTCAAGTCGTCGTTGACAACCCAGTAAAACCTCCCCCGACCGGCCGCTTATGACACTTGCGCGCCCTGCAAAAAAGGTTTGCAAAACCATGGTCTCGTTTCAAACTGCTTCTATCCATGGTCATAGGATGGTTCAACAAGGCCTTCTGGTCCAGAAAGGGGCATGAATTGGCCTCGTTTTTGGGATTATGTTGTTGACTAAGTTCCGTACCACATGTTGCTCTCGCCACACGACACGTTGGAACAATCTGGCATGTGTTATTAATTGTTGCTCGCTTCCAGTTGTGTAAAGCACCGTAGAGACCGGGAGCCGGTGGTGCCGGTGTAATGCTTATGTGGGACAGGCCCATGGTTGAGCAGGCCCCGGCAAGGGTGTGTTCCCTTGTGCATAGCCTCGCGAGAGATCATACCTTTCAGCAAAACCTTTTTGAGTGCCTCTGACCACCGGAGCCAGATCCCGAAGGTCTGACACCTGAGCCGTTGAGGAGCGACGCAAATGCCACTAGTCTCAATCCATTCTCAGTGCCCTCCATATCCTCGTGGTCATCGCACTTGCATCTTGTCCGGATCCTCGTCCCCCTTCTTGTATCCGCTTCCCATGCCACCTGTCGTTCATCCGTCCTAAAAAGCACAGAAGGGTTCTATATAGAGCGGAGGGGAGAAATGTTGGGGAACGGGGACAAGTGTTCCGCAGCAAAGCCAGACAGAATTTTGCACCACCCCAAGTCAGAAACGAAATGCCACGGAGTCCATCCCCACTCCCCCCTAAGCAGTGTGGCAGACGCTTCAGGTAAGTGTTTCGCCAACGCTTTGTCGGGACCTCTTCATGCGCTGCCTGGGTCCCAAAACAGAACTCTTCTGTAAGCTTTTTAACCCGTAGGTGAGCACGATTCTCACTGATTGATACCGCGTAAGTCATAAGCCATGCCCGTCATTCATGTTGGCTGTCGCCTTTAGGCGCCTACATTGCAAATCTCTACGCTTTGTTTGGTCTCATTGAGCGGCTGGCGGTTGCTTTATGGCGGCGATGCCATAGGTCAAGGCGTTTGGATGTTTGAGTTTCATGATGGGTGTGCTTTTGATGGATTTTGTTGAGAGGCTCAGCAATTGATTGCTATTGCAAGCGGTGAAAAAATAAGGCGTGGCGAACGCATTGGCAAGGCTTTGTTGTTGTATCAGGCTTGGACAATTACTGTCATTAGCATTTTCTGCAGCCAAGTCCAACCCTTGCGTGAAGAAACAAGCAGTTGTGCAATTTCTTTGTATACTGCAATTGATTGTGCATATTGAGCATTCCTTCTTTCCACACGTTTTGCGCAAGTGAGTATTGCCGTTGTCACCGAGTCTAGTCTTGTTGCATTCCTGGCTCAAGACACAAGCCGATGGTAGTGGGCCATCTCAGGCAGCATTTGTGGATGGATTTCTCATGTCGAGGCTCGCATTGACACTACTCTGTAGTGACTTTCTGCGTTCCTCCTTTGTTTGGATTCACGCCCCGGAGGAGCGGTACATTTTACATAACTCAAGAATTGTGATTGCAACCAGCTTTGATTGAACACTTGCCAAACTGTTAAACGTGTGCTTTTGTAACGGCCCCAGTCCTTGATGTTGATATGATATACACAAACTTCAACACAGACAAGAGGACGCAGACAGCACAGCCAGCCTGCATACATTTTTTGCCTCGTGCTACTCGCTGCTACCCTGCCTGTCCGGCCTGTCCCGGTCCATGTGTAAATGTAGAAAGGTTGCTGTGCAAGCTTTCCATGTACATTCGTTGCAAGCTGTTTTGGCCCATGCAACGGTGGATGGGAAGAGTGCGGGACGTGCTGCCACATGGATTGAGAGTACAGAAACTGGATGCGACGGGTGAGTTCTATATAATTCCGACCTCCCAGATTCCAATGAACTTGCTCAAGGGGCTCGGCTTGCCAAACTGTCATGAAGCCATTGTCCAGTTCCAAGCTGCCCAGCAGCCATCCTCCAATGAAGCAGCAGGTGAAGCACGGGCAAAGTTGGTTCGCATCATTCCAGCGGGACAGGAGGAACACGAAGGACATGTTGGACATGTGCCTCAATTTGCAAACTTTCCACCGCCACTGCCACCATGTCCTGCCATGATGTTGGCGGCTGACGCATGGCAAAAGCAAATAAACCAGGTGACACATGTGGACTGCCTCAAAGACTTGAAAGATGCAGCCAATTGCGCCAAAGGATATGGGAACGGAAGTTTGCTTTGCGACATTTTTTGTTCATGTGTTGCAGGGGTGCAAGTCATTTTGGATTGCCTGGCGTGGTCAGAGCAATTTGACAAGTTACCCTCTTTGGTTGACGCAACGTTTGCAGTCGATGCAGAGCCAAAACTTGTACAACTCTTGGACACCTGCCTCATTTGCCTGTTGGCTATTGACATCAGGAAAACACACGTCCAAAAAAGCATCAAATTGGCATTGTTGTTTTGCCGCAAAATTTCTCCTCTTCTTCAGGGCAGTCGGAAGATGAAGGAGCTGTGGCAGAGGATGCTTCATTTGGTAGACGCTGGCTTGAACCGAGCTCGAGCTCCAAGCCCCAAGAGCCCGAAGGGCTCAAAGGCGACGCCGCAGATGTGCTCAGTGCCAGGCTGTTTCAGGAAGTGCCGTCGATGGATACTCAAGAATGATGCGCATGGTGACATTGGATGGCGTTGCAAAATGCACAGTGCCAAGCCGATGTGCAATGTGCCTGGCTGCACACGAGCAAAAGTGGCAAGGGTTCACCAGAAAGACGCCTATGGACTGGCAGGGCACCGATGCTGCGTACATGGTGCAAGACGTTGCAATGTTCCTGGCTGCTCACGTTTTGCACGTTTCAAATCTGACAAAGATAGCTTTGGGGCTGCCGGGATGCGTTGTACTTTGCATTTATCAAACTCTCTTTGCTCCGTGCCAGGCTGCCATCGAGTTGGCACACGGTTGCGAAAAGGAGATGAGTTTGGAAAAGCTGGTCGTCGCTGTGCTGTCCATGGGAGTAGTTGCCGGGTACCAGGCTGCCGAAGGATTTGCTGGGGAAAAGCTGAGGCCGATAGCCCAGGCTGTGTATCCCGACCTATTCATGTCTCAGCAGGTGATTCTGGACCTGGTGCCCGCTGCAAACAACACTCAAATTCCAAGCGGAAACGGAGCCGGCAAAGAGCACCAAGTGCACCAAGCCCTCTATGCAGGCCAAACCAGCCTTGCTTGAACTTGTGCGTGCTGCGCTGATTCTTTTTGGGAAGAGGCATCCCAAACAATCCTAAACATCATATCATCCATAAGCAACAATCAATAATCAAGAAGAAACTACACAGGCATAGACCCCAGATAGCAACTATATATATACAACTCTAGACTCTAAAACAGAAGCACCTGAGGCAAATAATATCAAGAATTCAAACATCATATAATTCACACAAAATATCCAGAGAAGTGGGAGACAAGTAAGGAGACAAGGGAGCAGCGGCAAACACAGCGCCGATCACACAGGGAGACAAGTGGTGAAACATGGAAGGAGACAAGTGGGAGACGAGGGGACAAAACGCCGATCAGCCACCAAGTCATTGAGAATGAGAAGTATGAACCCCTATAATCATCTATATATAATCTATATTTCATCATTCTGCCGTCCCTTTCAAAGTTGCTTTGTTCCGTGATCCCAGATGGCTGAAAGCTGAGACGATGCCCGCCCTTGTCAACAGTTCTTCTTCG